GGATGCAGATTCATTTTCTTTATATATAGTAGACTATTCCCCTTCTTCGGGAAAGTTGATGGTTTGAATGTCACTACGGGCATCAGTTGCCAACCATTGTACAATAGGGCATAGTTCAGTTAATCGTCTCCTCGGTATGAGTATGACTTTATCCATGAATTTGCCATGCTTTGCCCCCCGATGGGCATGTTTAGGGGTTGTGAATTTGCTCAGTAACTTTTATGTTCCTGTAATGTCTATTTAAGCATTTACAGAATGCTTTTGACAAACATGACCTGTTTATCAGTGATCAGTTCTGAATTTAAGGTTCCCTGAATTTTGTATCTATTTTTTTTGCATGAGAGATGGTTGCCTCCGATGTAAAAAAATTCAGCACCCGTGAAACATATTCCTTTCTTGAGTGCACAGGATGTTGGTTTGATCATTTTCTACAAAATTACTATTGGTTTTCCACACTTTGGGCAAGCAAATTGACGCTGACATAAGCTACATCGGACACCTGTACCAGTATGATATTTATTCGTATGTCAAAAAATGGGATTTTTCAACTCGTAAAAAAGAAATACAGTCACCCACACATGCTTACATATTTCAAATTATGAACTACACAAATCATCCAAGGACATATTAGATGATTCCCAGGAAAGCCTTCCATTCCTGGAACTGGAGCAAAACTTCAAGTCAAACATATCCAATCCACCTCCTCTATAGTGCAATTGTAATTCTAGAGTGGAACTGCTCCACAATAGAATAGAATTGGTTTAGTGGAGCAGAGCAGTCCAAAACAAACTCTAAATATTACAAGCAAGTGAAGCCCTAAATATGACAAGCAACTGAACAAATAAAAACAAACGTGAGCCTATGAGTTTTCCTAACTTGTACTGTAGAAGCAAGAACATGAGTCCAAGTTAGGCCTTGTTCGGTTGTTCTAGAAATAAAAGGGATTAAAGGGGATTGGAGAGGATTGAGAGGGATTTTGATTTGCCCTCCCAATCCCCATGGTTCTGGGATCAAAAGAACAGACGATGTTAAGCGCCACACCAGTGGAGCGTTTTTACACCAAACGATATTACGTGGGTTTGGAAATTGAGTCTCTCATGGATTCTGTTTTTTTTAGCTAGAAATTCAATAGCTCAAGGAAATTCTAGACTTATATCTTAGACCAGTTATGGAGCCACTGACAGGCCATCCCATGCTTTTGTATATATTCAGAGCATTTAGACCAGTACCTCACTGTGTGAATGTCTTGATATATTGGGAGATGGACTTCATATATTTGACAACTTGATTTTTTCATTACAAAAGCGATGAATCAGCAGTTCAGCACTAAGCATCTGAACATTGGCCCTTTTCGCTTCTCTTATAATCCGTACTTTTCAGCTTGTTTTTTCAGCCGGAACAGTATTTTTCTCTCACAACAAATCAGTCGGAACAGTGTTTCGGCTTTTTTTCAGCGAAGCGAACGGGGCCATTATTGGAAGTGCAATCCTTTTCTAGAAATTATTTTACTTGAGAAGGATGTATTTACATGGACCTGTCAACATATGTATGATATCTGACGTCATAATGTTCCTGTGCAAGTTATGTTGACAAGGATGAATGACCCGGTTCAGGCAAGTCTTCACCGACTACAAGTGGAAGACAGGGACTACAGTGGAAAACAGAGGCTCAATCATATATGTTGTGCACAGAGAATTGATGAAATACAGAGGCTAGATTATTTGCTAAGACAGGCTGAAGGCTGAATCCTAGGATGCAGATTCATTTTCTTTATATAGTAGACTATTCCCCTTCTATGGGAAAGTTGATGGTTTGAATATTACTATGGGCATCAGTTGCCTGTTAAAATGTATGTGTCTAGGTTCATTGTAACACGGTGCAATCCTCAGGTTGTTGAGGGCGCCGTTTGGTTGTGCATGTGAGCATGCATAGATAGAGATCTCAGGTATAGTTTGTTGTAATTCTACCGTGATGTACAAGGCCACGCAGGGGGTTTTCCCCTGCCTATATAACACGTAACCAAGAGCCCAGGAAGGGCATCTTGTTCCTTCATTTTTACATGGTACCAGAGCCATCTAATCTAGGGACCCATGGCGCAAACACCAGCCACCGCCGCCCTCTCCTTCGGTCTCCTTCCCATGGTGACGGAGAAGCTCACCAGAGGCAACTACGGCATGTGGCATGCTCAGGTATCGTCGGCTCTCAAAGGGGCCCAACTCGCGGGGTTCATCAAGCCCACCGCACAACCGCCGCCGGAGTTCCTGGACACCGCCGGCAAGAACGACGACACAGCGGACGACAAGCAGGTCGACCCGTTGCCCAATCTGGAGTACGAGAAGTGGGTAGCCAAGGACAGTCAGGTGCTTAGCTACTTGTTTTCGTCTCTGTCCAAGGAAATCTTTTCCCAGGTGTCATCTACATCTACCGCCGCGGAGCTCTGGGCTACGATCCAGGCACTGCATGCCTCGGAGTCCCGTGCGCGTGTGATCGCCACGCGCATGGCGCTCGCCACGGCGTCAAAAGGAGCGTCAACCGTGGCGGAGTACTTCACAAAGATGAAGGGTCTCGCCGACGAGATGGCATCGGCGGGACGCAAGCTGGAGGACGAGGAACTCGTCTCCTACATCCTCACTGGACTCGACAGCGACTTCAACTCCGTCGTCTCAGCGGTCGTGGCAAGAGTCGAGCCGATCACTGTACCGGAGCTCTACACACAGCTCGTCAGCTTCGAGCAGCGCGTGGAGATGCAAGGCGGGGGAGCTCCATCCTCGGCCAACATGGTGATGAAGAACGGTTGCAGGGGCGGTAACGCCAACAACAGCCCTCGCAATGGCTGTGGTGGAGGCGGTCGAGGCGGTTTCGGTCGTGGCCACAAGGGAGACCGTGGCGGCACCGGAGGTGGTCACGGCGGCTTCCAATCTGGCGTATTTTGCCAGTTGTGTGGCAAAGAGGGACACACGGTGGTGCGCTGTTTCAAGAGGTTTGACACCTCCTACACCGGCCCCCAGCAGAAGACAACGGCTTCAGCAACCTCCAACTACGGCGTGGACACCAACTGGTATATGGATACTGGTGCCACTGACCACATCACAGGGGAGCTCGAGAAGCTAACCATTTGTGACAAGTACTCCGGCAACGAGCAAGTGCATGCGGCAAATGGAACAGGTATGGAGATTGGTTATGTTGGTCATAGCGTTTTGTATTCCCCACATACCCATATTCATCTTAATAATGTGCTCCATGTTCCACAAGCAAGTAAAAGTCTTATCTCTGTAAATAGTTTAGCTAGTGACAATAATGCTTTTCTGGAATTTCATCCAAATCACTTTTCCATCAAGGAACAGGGGACCAAGAGGACTCTCCTGCGAGGCAGATGTGAAGGGGGCCTCTATCCCCTCAAGTCATCCTACAATAAGCAAGCGCTTGGTGCATCCAAGCTGTCGTCGTCATTATGGGATGCTAGGCTAGGACATGCATCTCCTGCCATGGTGCAGCAAGTTCTGAGCCGCCATAATCTTCCTTTTGTTATAAACTCAAATAAAGCTAAAATTTGTGATGCATGTCAGTGGGGCAAGAGCCACCAGCTACCTTATCCCAAGTCAACTAGTATTTCTACTAGTCCCATGGATTTAGTCTTCTCTGATGTGTGGGGGCCAGCACCTACATCGGTCGGCAAAAATAGCTATTATGTAAGCTTTATCGATGATTATTCAAAGTTTACTTGGATCTATCTATTGCGCCATAAATCAAAAGTATTATCTTGTTTTCGCGATTTTCAAAACCTTGTCGAGCGACAATTTGGTCGCAAGATCTTGAAGGTACAAATAGACCGGGGAGGTGAATATCAAACCTTGAATTCCTTTTTTAGGCGCATAGGCATATAACATCTTATTTCGTGTCCCCATGCACATCAACAAAATGGCTCTGCTAAACACAAGCACATGCACATTGTTGAGATAGGATTCTCTCTACTTGCTCATGCTGCCATGGCATTAAAATTTTGGGATGAAGCGTTTCTTACAGCTGTATTTCTTATAAATCGCCTCCCTTCAAAGGTCATCCACAGTGACACAGCTTACGAGAGCCTCCATGGTCACAAACCCGACTACTCCTTCCTCAGAATCTTCGGTTGTGCCTGCTAGCCCAACCTTCGTCCATACAACACCACGAAATTGCAATTTTGCTCTAAACGGTGTGTCTTCCTTGGCTACAGCAATTCACACAAGGGGTTTAAGTGTTTAGATCCCTCTGTAGGTCGTGTGTATATTTCTCGTGACATTGTGTTTGATGAGAATGTGTTTCCCTTCTCTGAACTCCATTCCAACGCCGGTGCACGGTTGCGAGCGGAAATTTCTCTTCTTCTTGAATCCCTCCTCAGTTCCACCGGTTTTGGGGATGCAAAATTGCATGATCGACATGTTACTAACTCCGTGCCTAATACTGTGTCAAGTTCTCCTGGTTATCAGTTGGATGAAGGAACAAATCTAGCATCAAACAGTGAAAAAACGGCGTCGCCCGCTCGTCCTCACATATGTCTCTGCGGCGGAGACCAGGCTGATGCGAGTGCGGGATCCGAAGCTGATCCTGTCGCCGAATCCGCCTCGGGATCACTGGCTGATTCGCGTGTAGGCGCGTCGGCACCACCGGTCGGGTCTTCAGCGGGATCGTTTGCGGTAGCATCCGGAGCGCTGCCTTCCATCTCCGCTACGAGTCTGTCGACAGCTGCAGGAAGATCGCCTGCGACAGCATCCGGCGTGCTGCCGTCTGCTGCGGCTGTTGGCAATCTGCTACCGACGGAGATCCTTCCCTCCGGATCTTCTGTGGCTGTGGATCCTGTTGCTCCTACTGTGCCACCTCGCCCGATCACACGTCTCTCTCAAGGGATCAGTTAGCCCAAACAGTACACCGATGGCACGGTGAGATGGTGCATGATGGCAGCTACGTCTGAGGAACCCTCCACTGTTAGTGAAGCTCTCCAAGATGAAAATTGGATTGCAGCCATGGACACTGAGTATCAAGCACTTCGTCGCAACAAGACTTGGCATTTGGTTCATCCACCACACGACAAGAATATAATTGACTGCAAATGGGTCTATAAAGTGAAGCAACGAGCAGATGGATCCATTGATCGTTACAAGGCAAGACTTGTTGCTAAAGGTTACAAGCAGAGGTATGGAATTGATTATGAAGATACTTTTAGTCCCGTTGTCAAGGCGGCAACCATACATCTTATTTTGTCCATAGCTGTTTCAAAGGGGTGGACTCTCAGGCAACTTGATTTTCAAAATGCATTTTTGCATGGAGTTCTTGAAGAGGAAGTATACATGCGTCAACCCCCTGGATATGTTGACAAGGATAGGCCGAATTGGGTGTGTAAACTTGATAAAGCACTCTACGGTCTCAAACAAGCACCTCACGCCTGGTATGCTCGGTTGTGTGGCAAGCTTGAAACTCTAGGATTTGTTCCATCCAAGGCAGATACGTCTTTGTTTTATTATCAAAAAGGTCGACATACTATCTTTGTTTTGGTTTATGTTGATGACATAATTGTGGCTAGCTCGTCCAAAGATGCTACTGATGCTTTGCTCCGAGATTTGGAATGGGACTTTGCACTCAAGGATCTAGGTGATCTTCATTACTTCTTGGGCATCGAAGTCAAGAGATCAAGGGATGGTCTCCTATTGTCTCAACAGCGCTATGCTACTGATGTTGTCAAGAGAGCTGGTATGGGCAAGTGCAAACCGATCAACACTCCTCTTGCTAGCTCTAAAAAGTTAAGCGCTACAGATGGTGTGAAGCTAGGCCCTGATGATGCGACAAGATTCAGGAGTGTAGTGGGGGCTTTGCAATACCTGACGCTGACCAGACCTGACATCTCTTTCTCAGTGAACAAAGTGTGCCAGTTTTTGCATCAACCGACTACGGTGCACTGGAGTGCTGTTAAGCGCATTCTGCGGTATGTCCAAGGGACCTTGAACCTGGGTCTTAAGGTTCGGCCTTCTCAGTCCATGATGGTGAGTGCTTTCAGTGATGCCAATTGGGCAGGATGCCCTGATGACCGACGTTCAACAGGCGGGTTTGTAGTTTTTCTCGGGTGCAATCTCATCTCATGGTGTGCCAAGAAGCAGCCCACCATTTCTAGGTCCAGTACTGAAGTCGAATACAAAGCGTTAGCCAATGCCACCGCAGAGGTGATGTGGATTCAGAAGTTACTTGATGAACTTGGGGTTCAACATCCTCGTGCAGCTCGGTTATGGTGTGACAATATTGGAGCTAAGTATTTATCTGCAAATCTAGTTTTTCATGCTCGCACTAAACATATTGAGATTGATTTTCATTTCGTCCGAGAAAGGGTTGCTCAGAAACTTTTAGAGATCCGTTTTATTAACTCTGCTGATCAACTAGCTGATGGTTTTACAAAGCCTCTTGTTGCAGCTAAAGTAGAAGAGTTCAGGAACAATCTCAACCTAGTGGCCAGTTGAGATTGAGTGGGGGTGTTAAAATGTATGTGTCTAAGTTCATTGTAACACGGTGCAATCCTCAGGTTGTTGAGGGCGCCGTTCGGTTGTGCATGTGAGCATGCATAGATAGAGATCTTAGGTATAGTTTGTTGTAATTCCACCGTGATGGACAAGGCCACGCAGGGGGCTTTTCCCTGCCTATATAACACGTAACCAAGAGCCCGGGAAGGGCATCTTGTTCCTTCATTTTTACATTGCCAACCATTCTACTATAGGGCATAGGCAAACATGTTCCGTCACTATGATTTGAATTAATATGGTGTCCTCGGTAATTTGAGTATGACTTTATCCATCAAGTTGCCATGCTTTGCACCCCCCCATGGGCGTGTTTAGGGATTCTGAGTAGGCATATGCATACGCAGAGTTTGATAACTGACGTAGTATTAAATAAGCAATTGATGAATGTAGACGTGCCTAAAGAGTACGATTGATCGCTGCACCTCGACCCCCGGCTTAGCATAGTTTGGACGCCTAGACCACCAAAAATAGACTATGTAAGAGCAACTCTAGCCCAGCATGCAAATTGGGCCCCTATTTTTTTCATTTGCATGCTGGCCTGCAAAAAATAGGGACCCAAATTTGCTTCCAACTCCAGCCCAAGACCCTATTGCTACCCCTCCAGCCCAAGAACGCCGCCAGCACCGGCGCCCCGCCCGCGCGCCGCCGGTGTCCTCCCACGCGCCGCCAGCACCGGCGCCCCGCCCGCGCGCCGCCAGCACCGGCGCCCCGCCCGCACGCCGCTAGCACCGGTGCCCTCCCGCGCGCCGGCAGCACCTCCCGCGCTCTGCCAGCACCGGTGCCCCGCCCGCGCGCTACCAGCACCGGCGCCCTCCCACGCGCCGCCTGCTCCAGCACCCCGCCCGCGCGCCGCCTGCTCCGGCGAGGGAGTGATCGCTGACTGGGAGGAGAACCCAGGCCGGACCGCCGACTGGGAGGAGAACCTAGGCCGACTCCGATGAGCAAGAGGATCAAGAAGCGCATAAGCTTCTCCTGGCCACCATGCTCGGGAGAAGCGGTGACACCTGCCACTCAGCTGCGTCCGGCGCCGCCTCGTCCTCCTCTTCGATTGCGGTGGTGGTCGCCGTCGCTGGGTCCTTCGAGTTTGGCATCTCGGTAATCAAGCCCTTCCTTTGATGCAAATCAGTATTCAGTGACAATGCATAGTCCAATTCCAAGGTGCACCTAGCAATAGCATGGACTTTGATTCCGAGATGTATTGGTATAGAGATGGTACTGTAGTATCTGCTACTGGCTACTGCTTATTCAGTTCTCAATGCATATTCAGTTACTGATCATGCAGTATTCAGTTTAATTTCTCCTCAAATTAGTTCAATTGATGTACCTATAGTATTGTTTTAGATAGTGGGGATGCATGAATTAGTTGATTACTATACTCAATTGTTTTAGACAGTGGAGATTAAGTTGCATTTATGTAAGCATTACAAGTGTTGAAGCATACTAGTTTGTGCTAGAACACATCTGCAGTGTGTATGCAGTATGCAGTGTTGAAGCATACAATATGCAGTGTTGAAGCATATAGTATGCAGTGTGTATGCGAATTATATCATTGAGTCATGAATCTGATGAGTCATTAATACACTACAAGAACCTAAACATTTTGTTGCTATGGCAGATGTCAAGGTTTGGAACTAGAGCTCGTCGAGGGTGGGATGAAGAGGATGATCTGATGATGATGACCTCTTCATCATTGCTGGTCTTCTTGAGGGCTCGAGGAGAAACAAGTGCAAGAAAAAGTTTCGTGGATCGTTGCCGGGTCACCGCAAAGTGCCACGGAACATTTCTGAAGGTCACAATCGCATCTATCTAGACTAATTCGCGGAACAGTGTGTATACACTGAGAAACATTTCAGAAGGAGGTTTCGGATGTCCAGGTCTCTCTTTCTATAGATAGTGGATGCAGTGGAGTCTCATGATGACTATTTCCGTCAAAAGCCCGATGCCATCGGAACTCTTGGCGCCTCTCCCATATAGAAGGTTGTTGCCGCCGTTCGGATGCTTGCCTACGGTATTTCAGCAGACTTCTTGGATGAGTATGTGAGGATGGGAGAGAGCACAATCATTGAGTGTCTGAAACATTTTGTGAAGGCTGTCGTCGATGTCTTTGGTGAAGAATACTTGAGGGCCCTCAATGCCCAGGACATAGCCAGGCTGTTGGCAATTAATAGTGCAAGAGGGTTCCCAGGTATGCTTGGTTCCATTGATTGCATGCATTGGAAATGGGACAAGTGCCCAGTAGGTTGGAGAGGAGCATATGAAGGGAAGGAAGATGGGCCAACCATGATCCTTGAGGCCGTTGCATCACAAGATTTATGGATATGGCATGCATTCTTCGGCCTTCCTGGTTCTCTAAATGATATCAACGTTTTGCGCCGCTCTCCACTATTTTAGAGTATGACTTCTGGGACGGCGCCACAAGTGGAATACATGGTCAATGGAAACAAGTACACAATGGGGTACTATCTTGCTGATGGGATATACCCAGCCTGGGCAACGTTTGTCAAAGCTTTTCAACATCCACAGGGCAACAAGAAGATCCACTTCACAATGACACAAGAAGCAGTGAGGAAAGATGTGGAAAGAGCATTTGGGGTACTCCAAGCTCGCTTTGCAATTGTGCGGGTCCTACAAGAATGTGGGACAAGGAAGATCTATGGTATATAATGCAAGCTTGTGTAGTCTTGCACAACATGATCATTGAGGATGAGCGAGATGAGGAAGATGATTTTAACTACCATCAGGAGGGTGTCCCTGTGTTGCAACCTATGGACTACCAACGTCGTAATCTGCTTGTGCTAGAGGACTTCCTGAAGATACACGACGAGATTGAGGATAGGTCTTCACATGAGCAACTTCGGGATGACCTTGTAGAGCACTTGTGGGCAATTCATAGTTCTAGATAGTTAGAACTAATAGTTCTAGATAATTAGGACTGTATGTGTCTTTTTCCTATATTCTTGGTTTGCATGGCCATCTGAATGAGAGTTGTGTTGCAGAAATTGGATAGGGCCTGTTTGGCAGCTCAGTAAACTTATTCACTTGCAAGAGCTTTCTAGTTGTAATTATTTAACTACTACTGTTATTCTGCATATTTGAACTATTCATAATGTTTAATTACATCAGGGATTTTGATGCTTTTGATTTACGATTGAGGCTTCCTGCTGTGGTTAGCAAATTGCTTATATGTTCTGGATTCTTGGGTACAGTTTCAATGAAGGACATCAACTGCTGTAGGACATCAGCTGCTACAAAAGTCATGTGTTGTGCAATGGCATAAACAACCAGTGAAGCACTTTTCTACCACTTATACTGTAACACTTTGGTTCAGTTTTTAGTAGTAGTGAAGCAACATTGAATGGAAGTGGCATGCTTTTGAACTTTTGTGAATGAAAGTAAGAATGTATAATAGTCCTAGAGCTAGGCAAGCTTTCTCTGAACTGTTGGGAATGAAATGTAATATATTATGTAGTACATTCAGATTCAGTACACTGATTATCAAGCAAAGACAGAGAGCAAGGCACATAATTCAAACTGAAGGAAAAGGTCTTTCACAAATGACCAAGGCACAGCCATAGTTTGCAGACTACATAATTCATATTACACATAGTACCCTCATTGAACTGAAGAACACACCAAGCTTTTCAACAGAGAGCAATAACAACAGAGAGCAATAAGATGCTAATTTTCTTGAGACATAAACTTAAGAAATGACCACTCCACTCTCACGAAACCTACACTCCACTCTCACCACTAGCCGTCTCGCTTACACTACCGCTCATCTCCTTCACAATCCGAGCTCTCTTTGCCTTCACATATGCCCTTTGATCATCATCCATGGTGGTGACATCACAAAACATAACTTTCTGTTCTTGCTCCCACTGCAGACGCCGCTCTTCCACCTCAATCCTGCGCTGCTCAAGCATCATATCCTTGTCCCACCTTTCTTTCTTCATCTTATATTCCTCGGTCTTGAGTACCACTAAGGTTTGCATACTCATCCTCTCCTTCATTTTTTTCAGCTTCTCTTTGGATTGCTTTCTACCCGGAGGTCGGGTTGTCTTGGCAGAAGGAATTGAAGAGCTCTCTTGGCCTTAGGCAGTTGAGTCATAGTCTTGTTGAGTTCCTACGGAGAGGTTGAGCTCTCTGGACTTGGCCGGCCTCTTGCTGACTTCAAGTGTTGATTCAAACTTCTGAGTATGCCTCAACGTGAGCCAGCATTCTTCGAATTGACATTTTTTGCCCTTCGCTTTTCTGGCATACCTTTCATGGGCTTCCAGCAACTGCAGCAAAGATCAAGTGTGTGATTAGATATATAGCAGCGACAACATATGGTATGAACCAAGTGCAAGATGACATACATGTTCTTTGTATGGGACGCCACTTGGATGACGACGCTCGACCTCCTCGTAGTAGCCTTGGAATTTCATGCACTCCTTTAGTATGATTCCAAAGCGATGCTCGAGTGAATTTGGAGTCCTATCGGACTCAAAGTCCCTGTTCCTGTGGAAATCACTAGCAATCCTCTCCCAATAAGTTTTTCCTGCCTGATCATTCCCTATGATAGGGTCATTGCTGATATGAATCTAGGATTTGCAAAGTTGGATATCTTCAAGACTAGTGTAGTTACTGCCTCGCTTGGATGCTCCTTTCCCGCCGGTACTTGGAGTGGCAGCCTGCTGATTCACCAATTCCAAATCATCATCATTTTCCTATGTCATTATGTTTGTGAAATATTGTGAACTTGAAGCCCATGGTTGCTGCAAAGAATAAGAGACAGTCAATTTTCAGTGAAACTGAAAATGAGTACAGTGGAAAATAGATAGTCAACAATCTAACTGAATGCCATCTACTGCGACTGCTAGTATTCATGACTGATAAAAAAATTCACAGCATGACAACTGCTCATGACAAGAATTGAGCATTCCAACAACCAAATGATGCTCAGCTAGAAAATCCCTCCCCAACTAACACCAAATCTATCCCAACTCGGAGCTGTCATTGTAGACATTGAGGTCACATGTCCATCAGTTGTGCATGCACCAAAAATTCAGTTTCACATTCACATCAGTTGGTCCGGCGGGAGAAGGCATCCTGCCACCACTGCCGCCGCCAGGAGAAGGATGTTCTTGGCGACCAGGTAGGTTGGCGTCGAGAGAAGACGACGTGGGAGGACGGGAATGTGGCACGACTAACGGAGCACGACGTCGCGTGGTAGACACCGACGGATGGGGAGGCAGCCCGCCTCCGGAGAATCCTCCTAAGGCGCTGTCGTCCATAGGAGCAGAACCGGTGGGAGAAGAGGAAGAGGAGGCTCGCCGGACCAGGACCTCGCCGGATCCACGAGCTCCGGGGCAGAGCTCGCCGGATCTGCGGGGTCTCGCCGAACCGCCGGGAGGAGCCGGGAGGAGTCGCTGTGGGGAGGAGCTTCCGCGGTGCTCGTGTGGAGAGGAGAAGGATGCGGCCGCGTGCGGGAAGAGGAGCGGCGGTGGAGGAGCGGCGGCCGCGGCGATGGGGTGGCGGCGGGAGGGCGTCGGGGGCAGAATAGGAGCCCCTAGTTCCTAGGGACCTAAAACTAAATTTTGGGAGTTCTCCTAAAATGGGAGTCCAAGTAGGAGCCCCATTGGAGTTGTTTTTTTTTTGCTCAAGCCCCTAAAATTGGAATAGGGGCTTGTTTAGGGGCTCCACTGGAGTTGCTCTAAGGCCCAGGTTCATAACAGAACGTGTAATCCTTAAATACTAGTATGTTCAATAAAACATTGACCCCTTACAGAAAGATTAGAGATAGTTAGCTTAAATGCGTGGTTATTTTGTGTATCTGTTGTGAGGTTACGAAAGTTGGAAGACAAGTCACATGATACTCTTGTGGGCGAAGCCATCATGACGTGCAAGGGTTCGGTTCAGGTGAGTCCCTAAATCCTAATTAATGTCTTGAACCACTGACTCGGTCACCCAACCCCCACCTCCCCCAGCACCACCTCCTCGACTGCCGACGCCGCTGCCCTCCAGCGTGTGGTGGCGGCCCGTGGGGGACCCCAAAAACAGGCCCTATCCGCAGCAAACCTCTCCCTCCTCCCCCACGAGCCCCCTCTACCTCCTCTCTTCCTTCCCCTTCATCTCCGGACAGTCGGCGGTCGGGTCCGACCATCCCGGGCCCAGATCTGTCGCACCCACCTCTAAATCCGCCCCCTCCAGCTTCCCGCCTAGGCTGGGGGATGGCGGCCTTTGCTGGGCGGGCGCATGGTCCTAGACTTGCGGCCATGGCTGGCTGGGTTGGGCGCGTGCTGGCTGGGCCGTGGCCGACCGGGGCAGCGACGGCCAAGCTGGGTCGCCCGTGTGCTGCGGCTGCGGGTGCTGTGGCCGGCCACGCCCATCCTCGACCTGCGCATGGAGGCCAGATCTGCCTGGCTAGGGTTGGCGGCTGGCCGGCTGGCAGGAGGCGGGCTGCCTACCGGACGCCGAGCACTATCGGCGTGATCGGCTTGTCCGATCATGGAGGCCGGTGTCCGCTCCACTTCTAAGCTGGTGGAGCTGCTCTGTGCTACTATGTTCTTCTTCATGTACATGTGCAGGGGAATGGGGCGTGTAGTTTGGTCACATGCCGGCGGCAGGGCTGTGTCCCCTTCAATAGATCTGATGGCTGCACGACCGGATCTAGTGGAGCCACTGTTGTCTGCTCCGGCGCATGGCACAAGTGGTGCCCTGGTAGCGGTGCGTCTTCTACACATGCGTGCGTGGTGCACGTAGTTTGGCCGCGGGCATGCCGGCGGTGGGCTGTGTGTTCACGTGCGCCGTCCCCCTATGCCTGTTGTCGGGGAGGGTATAAGGATGGCAATGGGTAAATCCCCATCGGGTATGGCCACCCCAGACTCATTCCCGCCATAAAAATTTAGCCAGAATACCCATACCCGCCATGGGTGGGGAAATTTCTCCAGACCCATACCCGGCCGGGTAAATCATACCCGACGGGTCACCCGTACCCGCCAATAATTTATTCACGCACATGAAAATCAACAATTCAACAACAACCATCACTAACCAGAGCACATAAAATTAGATAAATAATAGCATATAATAATATCTTCTGCAACCAGCAGTCACATTACACCATCACACAAAGTCATTCTGTCATAAATCATTATATTACATAGCCAAAAGGGGTACATAAATAAATCTCCAAGTTCATTGCAGTGAACATATGTAGGACAACAATTCAACAAACATGATGGTCGCTTGCAAGTGCAAAGAATATGATATGAAGGGGATTAGGGGAAGGGGAAAAGGGCAATCACCATTCTTGCTCGAGTTGCTCCGTCGCCGGCATGGCATGGCGAGTTCCTGGCGCTTCAATGCGATGCGAATACACGAGACGCCGAGACGAGGTCACGAGGGATGGGCAGGCGGCGTAGTTTTTTTTTCGACGGCGGCGGCGTTTTTTTTGGCGAGTGGTGATTGCGGTGCCAGGCTGCCAGCGCCGAGACAAGGTAACAACGCGCTTTACTCACACGCCTATTTTTTCGGTGGCGGGACCGCGGGAGGCCAGGCGTCGAGCCTCCCTCGAGCGATCAAGGGCTCCAGTGGCCAAGTCGCCAGGTGGGACCGGCGGGTGAACCTAGGGGTTTACATGGGCTGGTGGGCTTATTTAGTTTTGGGTCGGGTATTTTTCACGCATGGATAAACGGGTACGGGGATTGCTGGAACATACCCATACCCGCGTACCCGATGGGTGAAGGGTTTGGTCCATTTACGTACCCGTGGGTAGTGTGTTTAGTCCATATTTAGACCCTAATGGAGTAAATACCCGTCGGGTATCGGGTCGTGGGTCCCCATTGCCATCTTTAGGAGGGTAGAGCGCTATTTCTTTAGAATGTCGGCGTCACCCATGCTTGTACTCACGGTGGCGGTGACAACATAATGGCGACGTCGAGGCGTCTGCAGCAGGAGAACTTTGGGAGGGTTCTGGGGGAAAGCTAAGCCCAACCCTTGGCTGGTCCAGCGATGATGATTTCCTTCTAAAGGCGTTGCTGAAGAACCTCTCATTGCCTCCTCTTTTCGGTTGGCCGGGTCAATGCAGTTCTCCTCGGCACGGGACTCGGACGAAAGGCTTGCTAAGCTCCTGCTTGGCTGACGATGATTATGTTCTAGCATCATTCACCTCCTTGGAGGCATCGTCGAAGAGCCCGTGTGCCATGGTGTTCTTGCTTTCTCCTTGTAGTGATGTATTGGTGGTTGTGCCACCTTTCGCCTTTATGTGGGGCGCATTGTTGTTGTAGTTTTTTCACTCGTGGATATGCCACAACCTCACCTGTGTTAGGGTCGCTGTAATGGTTTTAGTCTGGTTTTCTAAAATTAACCAGACAAAAGTGTTTTGCTTCGTTTCTCCCTAAAAACGAGGCTGTTGATGATATATCAATATATAATCAGGTGGGGATTCAATCCCCCGTGACAGTTCAAAGAAAATGTGCAAGTGTTCGGATTCGGCTAGCCAAACCAGGATATGAGTGTTGTAGCGCTAGTGAAAGTTTTGCAGCTCCAAAAGATGCATAAAGGGGTGGAAGTGAAGGACGGCCGTGAAAGTGAAAAGAGTGGGATCAGAGTGAATGATGGAAGAAGAGAGGTTTGGGATGAAAAAGGATAGATGAAGGTTGTAGAGATTGGTAATGCCGGAGTTTAACCCTTGTCTTATTGAAATTCTCTCTCTAGCTCTAATTAAATCAAATGCTAACTGAAGTTATATTAAGTCGATTTATAGCAAAAAGTCAATTTATGACACTGATTTAGATTATAAGACACACCATAGATTATATTTGCATAATGTAATTGTTTGGTGTCATAAATATTTATGTTTTTTTATATAAATTTGCTCGAATCTAAAAAATTTGACTTAAAACACTTCAAAAATCGATTTATTCAGGTTACATAACAAATAATCTCCGTGCCGGCTTCTAACTCATTAGCGTGGTGTAGGACAAACATCGTTAGCACGGCAGCCTGGTAGAAGTGATTAGATAATTGACGTGCTTTATTCTGGAAACAAATCGTCGGCCGCTTTAATTTATTAATGGAGGGACGGAGACGAGAGATTTGAACATCGGGCGTGGTGGTTATAAAATGGCATCGTTCTCCAGCCCCACCTCTTCCACTTCAGATGTCCCTGGCCGATCCGGCGCGGCGGAAGCAAGAACGCCCACCGATCCTAGGTCTTCGTCAACTTCGAGCATGGTACACCAACTGGTTTTTGCCTATCTACTACTAGTGTTCTCATACACAAATTCCTTGTGCTGGGTGTCGGTGAAGCATATTGTCAGATGTCAGTAGACAAATAACAAGAGTTCGTATCTAAACACTACGTTTCATCTTTCTTCTACTACCTATTTCAGTTGTAGACGCTTTTGCCTACTGTTCTACATATTGCCTAAACAATAACGAAGCGAAAGCACTGCTGCTAATTTTAGTTAAATTGCTGTGGTAATTAATAAGGGCTGCATGTTCTGTTTTAGTTTAATTATTAGATCGATGCAGCATAGCAATCCTGATGCGTGCGCTGGCTACAGTAATATTTGAGTCTTCTTGGCTGCTTTGGCCTTCGCCTAGCCTGTTGTCTGCTCTATTCCATTAGAATGTGTGCTCAGTTAGATGAGAAATGCATATTCACTTTTCTATATCTTCAGTGTACATGACAGATTGAACCATGTCATTTAACGATTGTTCAACTTATTTGTTTGCTAGGATTAGCTCCAACACCTTGTTAAATCACAAACAATGTATGTATGCAGTAGATTTCTGTCCTTGCCTCCTGTTTTTCTAGATAATAATGGGTTCTTACTTCGACATGTGGAAATTGTGTGTTTTGGTGTATAGCCTAAATAAAATCTAGACGAATGCAATTTTGTCTAATTTTTTTTGTGTGATGTTCGGTGTATTGTTCTATTGCCTAAATAAAATCACGACCGATACATTTTCGTCTAAAAATTATTTTGTGATGTTTGGTGTACTCATTCAGGATGCAGATCTTTGTGAAGAGCCCCACCGGTCGGACAATTTGCCTCAGGGCACAACCATCAGATACCTTGCAAACTGTGAAGGCAAAGATTCAGGAGCGGGAATACCTTGTCTATGATGGAGTGCGGCTCGAGGACAATCTTACTTTGGTTGGCTATGGCGTCCAGCATAGATCTACGCTTGACCTCAAAGAAAAGATGCAAATCTATTTAGTGGAAACACTAGCAGGCACAACCATCACTCTTGAGGTTGACAGCTCAGAAACTGTTGACAACATCAAGGCAAAGATTCAGTATAGTGAGGGCTTTCCTAAGGGTCAGCAGTGCCTCATATTTGGCGACAAACAGCTGGAGGACAATAGCACCTTGGCGGACCACAACATTTCGAAGGACTCCACTCTTCTCCTTGTCCTCCACTGGTTTCCAAGAGGTACCATGCATATCTCCATACAGATGACAGATGGAACGAAAGTCCATCTTGAAGTTGAGAGGTCAGACACGATTGATAATATCAGTTTAAAGATCTATGAGAAGGCCCATGTTCCCACACAGCAAGCAATCCTATTTGGCGGCAGGAGGCTGAAGGGTAGCAAGACCCTGGCAGACTATGGCATTGAGAATGGGGATGCTCTCGATTTGTTGATCTGCCAGTGTGGCTGTTGAGTTGGATGTCATGCATGGTCATGAGCCTTGTTTCTTTCGAGCATAGGTGTGTTATCAGTAAAAGCATCATTGTATTGCTGAAGTCTTTCCTTCCAGTACTGTTATGCTATGAGTAAAACTGTTTAAGATCTTACATCAAGAGTTTCTGGTACTGCAGCTGCAGTTCCGATTACACACTGGCCACCGCTTTCTTTTCCTTTTCAAATAGCCCTTTTTTTCTGGCAACTTTTTCACGTAGTTCGTTACAGACAAGTTAATTAACGAGGATTAATCCTAACACCGTTCTTGAATTTATTTTAGATTTAGACAGGATTTACTATTGAATCTCGTGAACAACACGAAACTTATGCATCACACCAAGATTGAATTGAAATTGAAAATCCAGACATGGAGTCAAAGTCATCTCACAGTGTCTCTGCTCTCTGGTACCAAATCTGGAGAACAACAGTCGTCATATACAAATTTCAGTTATATAGTTGAAAGTTCAATCGGGTCTCGAGTTTCACAAATCCAATGCCAACCCACTAGTTTTTTCCCCTTCAACATGATAACGTTTCCCCCATCATCCAAAACGTTTAGGTCTAGGTGTTAGTGTTAGACTACCATTAGCAGGGTTCTTATCCTTGTGTTAGCGCTCCTTAATTAGCGCCGTAGCTGTGCATGTGTGCATGCTACTATTTTAGTCAAGAGTTCACATACGGGGGCAATCTTCTTCCTGTTTTTTTAGGGAAACTGGAGGGGTTTGCACCCCTACAGTGAACTTTTATTGAAATAAAGAGTAAACTTAGACAGGGTTACAATGAAGTTCAAGAACCAAGAAAGAAAGGAAAAATATAAGAGAAATTAAATAGATTAGACAAGACTGTTTAACCATTGATCAATTGAAGGGAAGTAGCTTCTTTTTGCGCGTAAAAGAATCAACGCAAATTCTGATTTGAATACTCTTTTTGTGTCTTCCACTGAGAGATGCACCTGATTGAAGATTAGCCCATTTCTGGCCTTCCAAATTGACCATCCCATTAAGATAATGATTTCCATGAAGAAAGGAACTTGTAACTGAACTCTGAAGCTCTCAATGTTTTGAAAAAGATAAGCTTGTGGAGAGATATGGCAATTAAGCCATGCCCAGCAAGTTTGAGCAAAGGGGCAGAGAAACATGGGGTGCATAAGAGATTCTTCTACTGCATTACTACAAAGGACACAATTATAGTCTTGTAGGTCCATGTTCTTCCTCCTAAGCAGTTCCCTTATACTCAGCCTATCCTTCATGATGAGCCAGGCAAACACCTTATGTTTGGTCTAACAATTACTGTTCCAAATCCATTTGAAACCTGGATGAATAGTGCTATGTCCACTAAGATGCTTGTAGGCTTTTGCAACAAAAAATTTACGAAAACTCTAGAGAAAAGTCCACAGATCAGGCATATCAATTAGCACTAGTTGTTGGATATCCAATTCCAGCTGTAGTAGTTGTGAGTAAGCCTGTTGGGAAAGGGGAAGATGAAAGAGGTCTAACAGTGAAGTCGCTTGTTTTGCTCTTGCCAAGGTGATTGTATTTGACTTGGCAAAGGAAAAAAGTTCTGGAAATTCTTGCATGGGCACTCTGTTACTCCAAAGGTCCAACCAAAGATAACAAGATTTGCCATTATTTATGCTCACCTTTGCCATTCCCTTGAATTTATCTAGTAGCATTAATATACCTCTCCACCAGAATGATCCTTTCCTTGCCTGTGTTGGTAGGTTATCTGAGTCATAGTAACTTTCCCAGATCAGTGACACCCATGGAATATCTTCTCTGTTAAAGAACTTATTTAAGTGCTTGAGAAGCACGGCTTCATTTTGAGTTTTCAGGTTTATCACTCCCAAACCTCCTTCCTCTTTTGATTTGCATACTGCTGTCCAAGCTGCTTTAATTTTGGTCTTTGATTAGCATTGATGTCTGCCCCTCTCCATAGACAAAGCTTTCTATATTTGTCAATCTGGGCAATTACAGTCGAATGGATGGCAAAAGTGCTCATGCAAAATGTTGGGAATGCCGAAAAAACTGAATTAGTCAACTGTAATCTTCTAGCTTGATTAAGGAATGTTGAGGTGGCAGCCAATCTCCTTTCACATCTACTAACTAGTGGAGAAAAATCAATGACCATTGGAATAGTCAGACTTAAAGGTAGTCCCAAGTATGTGAATGGAAGGCTGCCTTTATCACAATTGAAAGTTCTTGCTAGATGATGCAATCTCTCTTCTGAAGTGTTGATTGGAACCATGATAGATTTTGAATAATTTACATTTAATCCTATTGATTCACCAAATGAGTGCAATAAGGCTTTCAAAGTTAGCAGTTGTCTGCTACATGCTTCCATGATGATCAATGTATCATCTGCATACTGGATTATTTGAAAGTCTTGTGATGATCTTAGAGGTAGTGGTAGGTTCAGAAGGTTTAGAGATTTGGCTCTATTTTGGATAGATTGGAGGAGATCTGCCACTAGAACAAAGAGTAGTGGAGATAGAGGATCTCCTTGCCTTACCCCTCGTTTGCATTGGATCATCTTGCTTGGAACTCCATTGAGGAGGACCGAGGAAGTTCCTGAGGAGAGTAATTCTTTAATCCATTTGATCCATCTATCACCAAAGCCTTTTGCCTGTAATATCTAAATTATAGCTTCATGCTCCACCTTGTCAAAAGCCTTCTCAAAGTCTAGTTTTAGAATGATCAAGTCCTTTCTAGATTTGTGGCACAGATGAATGTATTCCAATGCCCAGGCTAAACAATCTTGAATGGTTCTGGTTTTGATGAACCCATATTGGTTTTTGTGAATTAAATCCTTGATCACCTTCTACAGCCTATTTGCTAGTAGTTTTGTAAACATCTTGAAGGAAGTGTTGAGTAATGAAATGGGCCTGTAGTCAGATGCTGAGATTAGGCCATCTTTCTTTGGGGTCAGGGTTAAAAGGGAGCTATTAAGGCTTCTAAGGCATGGATTTTCTTCATAGCAGGCCTCACACAACTTGTAAAAGTCTGCGACAATGAGAGCTCAACAACCCTTAACAAATTCATTGTTAAATCCATTAGGCCAGGAGATTTGTTGTTTTTGGAAGCTCAGAGACAACCTTATCAATTTCTTGTTTAGAGAAGGGAATTTCTAGGGAACTTAGATTTTTAGAAGCTGTTAAAAGGTCATTTAGGTTAAATAGCATGTGTCTGAAATCAGTGGTACCTAGCCTCTCTTTGAAAGTTCCCCATAGGTGCTTGGATTTCTCTTCATGTCCTGATAGTATGTTCCCTGTGACATCTTATAAAATGGCAATAGAGTTCTTTCTATGTCATGGTGGCATGAGCATGGAAGTATCTTGTATTGGCATCACCTTATTTAACCGAATTGATTTTCCCTCTTTGTTTCCAATAACTCCTTTGCTACTTTAGGAGAGAGATCAATTTTGAGCATACCCGTTCTCTGAAGTTATATTCAAGTAGAATAAGATCTCTGAAAGATTCAATGGTATCTAGCAGATTGAGGATCAATTTATCGTTGTTGATTGAAGCTACTAATCCTAGAGTCTTTGAGTTTGAAGTCTTTAGAGTTTTTCTGATATTTTTGAACTTTGTAGTCAATGTCTTCGTTGGATCAAGAATCGACTGATGGCAATTCCAGCCCTGCAGTAGGGTAGGGATGAAGTCATCTCTTTCTAACCAGTGGTTTTCAAACCTAAAAATTCTGCTTTTTGGGATTGTGGTTTCAATCTGTATCACACATGGCCAGTGGTTTGATGTTTCCATCACCGTTCCTTTCACTAGAGTCCCTAGATATTTTGAGGTCCAAAAACATTTGAAGTAAAAAACCAATCAAGTCTTTCTAACAATGGTGATAGCTGCTTGTTTGTCCATGTGAAGTATCTTCCATGCAGAGGTAATTCTATGAGGCCCAAGGTGTTGATTGCCTCATTGATGAGGAACATTTCTGTTATATCTCCTCCCTCTTTGTTTGTGTCTTTCGGCTTCCCTATACGATTAAAGTCTCCTATGACCAGCCATTCCCTGTCATCTGTTTTTGTATATTCTTAAACCACTCTAGAAAAGTCATCTTCCCATTTGGGGTGCAGGGGGCATAGACAGTAGTTAGGAGCCAATTTTCACTGTTATGATTTGAAGAGAATTCCACAGTCATTGCATATTCATTCTGAAAGACTTCCACTTCATTGAAAATCCTCCCTTTCCAACATATTAACACTAGTAGGAATATCCACTTCTATGATAATCAGCTTTTGTCACTGAATGAGCCAAATTCGTCATAATTTCAGTTTTATGACGAAAATTGATTCGTCATAGAAGTCGTGTCACACTTGAAATTCTATGATGATTTTCGTAAAACATCATAGAAGTGGCTTCATCTGCGACGAAAACAGAACGTCATAGAACTGTTTTCGCATATGTGGCAGGGGGGCTGCCATGCTGGTGGGTGCTTCCGTTGGAGATGCTTTCTACGTGTACATGCTATAGCCGGTTGCATTGGAGATGGTTTGGGTACGTGTCACCTTCTTATTGCACAACGTGACCATCTTTGGTTCTTGCACGTTTCAGGTTCTTACTGGACCACGTGTCGTGTTCTTGTTGTTCCACATGTCAGTTTTCTATGGGCACACATGTCGTGTTGCGATTGGATCACGTGTCACTTCTTCATTGGAACATGTGGCGTATTTTTATTAGTCCACGTGGCAGTTTCTTATTCAACCACGCGTCACCGCACTGTCCATCCACATTTTGCATTTTTATTCGGCCACGTGACTTGACGACATCCTTCCACGTGTCGGATTTTTAATAGCCCATGTGTCGTGCTTTGGCTATTTCAAGTGTCATGCACTGGTTCCTCCACGTGTCGTATTTTTATTTGATCACGTGGCCTGTTCTGGTTCTACCGCGTGGAGTACAATCGATTCATCATAGAAGTAATTCGAGATAGTCACTACTGCATAGATTGACTACATAACAATTCAACCTGGCA